TATAATCTTATAACGAAGTTGAGGTTTAGGACATAGAGTTTGTTATAACAAGAGTTAATTATATTAAATTATTTAACTTTTAAACTTACAAAATATTTTTTGAGAAGTAAACAAATGATTTGTATAAGACAAAATACAAAAACGTTAGTAATATCATATAGTTGTATTATACACAAAGTCAAAAAGTAAAAAAATAATAAAAAAATATAAAATTATATTAATTAATTGATCAATATTTATATAAATGTTTATTTATCATGATCGATATATGACATGTTTAGCATTTGATATCAAGGCTGAATATATCATACACAAATCATTTTATATTAAAAAATTTTGTGTAATTATAATTGAGTTATTTTTACTATTGATTTTCCTTTCAGATAATTACTTTTTTTACATTTACATATAATTTCACTTTAAAAATAAGTTTTTTTAAGAACTTCTTATAAGTAGATATAAATATACAACTTTAACAACAAAAATATATGTAATTTTATGGGAAGAAGAATATTCTCTTAAGTTGTAGAGTTATGTTGTTCAGTTGGATTTTATGTAAAATACAAAAAATCAATTTTTTAAATAAAAGAATGAATTTTTATATTATAAAAATTTTATGATGAGAAATTTTTAATAAATATTTTGAATCTAAATACAACTTGGTGAAAATAATAACTTTTATTAAAGGTAAGTAATTTATGTTCTTTGAATGACACTATCAAGCTAAATAGACAATATTAATAAAACACTAAAAAAATATGTAAAAATAAGAAAGATTATTAAATAATAAGAAAATAATATATTTTACTAATATAAAATTATATATTATAGAAGATTATTGAAAAAAATTTAAATATTCTATATTAATATTCTATTCTAATAAGATATAAAATACCTGTAAAAAAAAATTTTCATTTAGTATGATCACATTAAAATTAAATACCTTAAGTTAATACAACATATTTTTCATGTTAAAATTGTTTATAATACTTTCACATATTAAAATCGGAATATAGTAGATAAATTGTTTGAAGAGATCTTAAAACCACCGATCCGTTTAAGTTGAGACTGAAATTCATAAAATTATGTCGATCAACTGATCGACGTCTATATAAATGTCATTTGCCATGATCGACATGCGACATGTCCGGCTCCGGACTATTAATTTATATGGGTAATCTAAACATTTGTTATACAGAAACCTACACATTTGATATTCATCACAAAAATTAATCTTACCTAATTATAAATGCAATAATAGAAAACAAAAAAAAAATAAATTCAGAGAACAAAGGAATATAATAATAATAATAATATCTATTTGTTAAGAAATTGGATAATTTTTATTTGCAATTAGTAAAAGGAAAAAAAACTAAGTTAGTCAACATTTCAACCATATCAAATAAAATTAACGAAATGAATGGAAATAATTTTTGTATATTTTTTACGCAATTTGTTCGTTCCTTTTTTTTTTTTTTTTGATTTCCTGAAGCTTTCTACTTCATTCCCACTTCTTCTCTTTTTCCAACAACTCTTCTTTTCTTTCCAGCCTCACCTTCTCCTTTCTTTTCTCTTTCTCTTCAACTTTTTCAGCCACTGCCCGTTTCCTTCTGCTTTATTTAAAAAAAGATCGTAAAATTACTTTATTATGCATAATTTAGACCAATGATAAATTATCGGGCACATGACTTTGAATTTAAATAAATAAAAGAAATGATAACTTGTAAACCAGATACATTAAAGAATAGATTTACATATCGCAAACTACTTATACATGTTCTATATAATTAACCACATATTAAATAATTCCAATGATCTTTATTGTAATTTCAACCATATGAACGAAGTCACTAGTCTCTTTTTCTCAGATTAAATAATAGTGACGACGATCATAAACTGGTCAGATCACATTAAATTTAGTTTATTAGAAAACCTAATAAAAGATGTCCACGGGACCATCCTACCGTTTAAGTATAACGATAAACGATCAAGAACGTCGTTCGGGTCGTTTATGTGAATTAGTTCTTAAATACTAAATCAAAATCAATTAGATCTTGGTAAAACTGAATTATAATTTAGATAATCTTTAATCGCATATATATACTTACAGAAGGCCCATCTTATTCAAAATATTTACGTTATTTCAAAGAATGGATGTGGTGAAGGACATTTTTTTTTACAGGTTCAACACTTACTTCGTTAAACGTTATACAGAAATTAGTATATTAACGAGATATTTCATATGTTAGAAACTGTCATAACGGACGTTTTAATAGTGATGTACCAATAACAAAAGATAAACAAAAAAGCAAATGGAAAAAGATAAAGTAAAAAAAGGAATTCTTATTTAATATGGAATTTTATTGAATATTTGAATAATAAAATCTTTGATTCTTTCTGTGGACTTTATCATTTTATCTTTATCCTTAAGAAAAGGAAACATGTTTACATTATTAAATTATTTTTACCTAATAAAAAAGTGGTCTGGTTGTTCAACTTAAAAAAAAATTATTTGTACACAAATCATCACACTATCACCCTTATAACCCTCCCTGTTTCACTTCATAAATTGTTCGCGCCAAAACCATTTTAACCGAGCAAAAGTCAACCTATTCATTAAACTTTTAATTTTAACTTTTTTACTTTCTTTTTTGTGAATATGAGTAAATTTAAGAATGGGTGGACTGTAAACCGTAACGTTGAAGACCCGATCCTTCGTCCTCGTCCTATCTCACAAGAAGGTTATAATTATCCAGCGGAACATGCAAATGATAAAAATTATCTAAACCCAAACTCTAGACGTCAACCAATACGTCAATATGGTTCTTCGGCTTCTTTAGAAGTGCGTCATGAGCATAATCGTCAGCAGAGAGAACAAGAATTTTTTGCAAATTCGCCATCTGCTACACAAGGTTCTACTGAAAATTTACGAAATGCGCCAGTTATGCAATCAAATGTCAATGACTCTGGTTCATCAGATTATTATCAACGATCCGTTAGACAGGCAAATAACCACCATAATTCCTCATCACCTTCAAATACTCATTTACCTCCACAAAATAACAGAGATTTTAAGGGAACCGAACCAAATTTAAATCTTCCTTCTAATTCGCATGGCATCGTCCCTTATTCAAACCTTCCTTCTAATTCACGTGGTATTGTCCCTCATTTCCCCAATCAAACCATCAAACAAAATTATAATTCAACACAACCTAAATTATCAAATAATTCACGGTCCATTCCATCACAACACAAAGTGGTTGATCGACCAATTCGAAAAGATTCATACGGGTCTTCTTCACAACATTCTATGGATTCACAAAGATCTACTTCACAAGAGTCATTTGTAAGCGCGTCTCCTTCTCAATTACCATCAGGTTCTCATGGCATCGTACAACGTAGTATACATCCAGGAGGACATATGAATCAATCACAATCCAAAGATAATAATAAATCTCAGCGTTTAAATTTGCCCAATCCTGTTTCGATAGAAGATTACATTTCACAAGCAATTAAATATCATGAAGATAATCAGCTTGAGAAGTCCACAGAGTATTTAAGGATAGCAGCAGAACGGAATTCTGCTGTTGGAATGGTCCTTTACGGAATAGCTTTAAGACATGGATGGGTAATTAGAATTAATTAATTTTCATATATATTCAATTTATTCCTTAATATCATTATTTAATCAAGATACGTGTTAAAAATATTCTTTAGGGATGTAAAGTAGATGCTGCATTAGCATTCGGATATCTTGAAAAAGCTGCAGGGTCCATGATTAATATTAAAAATGGTATTAATGATTCGGTTAGCATGTCATCATTTAGAGGAGAATTAATTTTGGCAATTTATGAGTTAGGGGTATGCTTTCGACATGGTTGGGGTATTCCGAAAAACAAGGCAACAGCCGCATCCTATTTTGAAATTGCCGCTAACATGGTATGTTAATTCTTGGAAATTAATGGTCTAACTTCCGTAAAATTGTCATTATTAAAGTTTTTTTTTTGAAATGTAGGGTGATCCTGATGCACAAAATGACGTGGCACTTTGTTATTATAAGGGTGAAGGGGTGAAAAAAGATATGAAAATGGGTAAGTGTAAAAATCACACACATATATATTTTAAAAAAAAAATTAACTAAATTTACATTTTCAATAGCCGCCAAATTTTATAGGATGGCAGATGCACAAGGTCATGGTACATTGGGTAATTCTTGGATTTTCAAAGCTAAATATAATGATGATAAGCAATGAAACACTTTAATTATTTCTTTTGCGAGGCGTGTGAATTTCCGTGGATCGGGAAGAAGTGGATCCTCTGATTGAGGCTGGCATTAATGGGATTAAAAAAAAAAATAATCATTCATTCTTTGTATTCAAACTCACTCCCTTCTTTTATGTCTCCCTTTTTTTGATGTATATAATTATTTATTTTTGTTAAATTATTTTTTTATTTTTGCTTTTTTAGCATAGAATTTATTATTTATAGATGTAACATATAATAGCTACTAAGGCATATTGTTATTTCTTACATTCACATTTAAGAATCAAAAAAATAATGATCATTTCCTTCATATTATATAGTATTTATTTATTCATTTAATTAATTATCCTATTATTTATATTATTTACTCATTTATATATTTTTGAGTTTGTTTTATTCTTTGAATTTTTGAAAGTTTTTGAAAAATTGTTAATTCATTGAGAAAAAAAAAAAAATTCAAAAACCAAAAAAAAAAAGAAAAAAAAAATGGTGATTTACTTAAATTTTTTCATTTATTAGAACTTGTAATTTTACCCCACAAATTTCTAAATTAACAAGTGACGTCAATCAATAAATTGGATCAGCATACAATGTGATTCGCTACTTTTTTTAATTTCCGATGCCATTAATATTCCTATTAAGGAGTCACATGTTATTACTTCATCCCAATTCCGCGGAATATATTTCCCACTTTATGCATATTATTTTTTTTGATTTCTCATTCATTCCTCCTTATAATGGCTGATCCTTACTTATGTTCCTTAAGTCAATGTATAATTAATGACATAAAACTTCCAGGTTGGTATTTAATTATTAAAGACGTGGCGAAGTGTAAATTTATTATTCTGAATTCTGAATATTTTCCTTACCTCGTGTTTAAAGATGGGACATTTAAACAAAATGTTTTAGGTGGAGGCGGTGTATATGCGACATACGGTAATTTTATTTCGTTTTTATTATAAAAAACTGTGATAAATATTCGAACGAACTTTTATTTTATACACTTTTGCTTTTATTCTTTCATTTTTACTTAAAACAAAAAAAAACTATTAGGAATGAGGTTATGGTTTTCTTCACCAGAATCTCAAAGAATCGCATATTCATTTCACGCTGGCTATGATTTTCCAATTAGCATTCTACAAAAATTGTTATCATTAAATATTTCGTTAACACAGATATGGCATTCGAATTTACCTTCGATTCGTGGATTAGCAACTTTTACATCCGCAGATCAACGTGTATTTGTATATCAAACTCCACCAATAGGGACGGTGCCAGCCGACTTACCAAGTTCATATCTAAATTCCAAAATTTTTCATTTCATTTGTTCATCAAATTGGGCCTCACAACATATTACAGAGATATTAAGATTAAGAGATAAACAATTACCACCACCAACCTTTGTTTGGGAACCTGTACCAAATAGTACCACAAAAGAGAATTTACAATCTTGTGTGGAGGCTATGAAAATGGTTGATGTATTATCACCGAATCATGAAGAAGCGGCGGCACTTTTAGGATTAATAAGTGAGGAAGATGAAGAAGTCGATAGATTTTTATCTGAAGATATGTTGACATATATGGCAGATAGGTTTTTATCATATCAAATTGGACCTCATGGAAATGGATGTGTTGTAATTAGAGCTTCTTACAAGGGATGTTTAGTAGCAACAAAGGAAAAAAAAGAAATAATACCAGCTTATTGGACGACATTAAGGGATGGTACAAAAGATCATCATGTAATCGATGTTACGGGAGCAGGGAATGCTTTTTGTGGAGGTTTTATGGCTGGATTAATTCGATCTAATTATGATGTATTTGAAGCCGCTTTATTTGGATCTGTTAGCGCTTCGTTTACTGTTGAACAGCTTGGAGCGCCGAGGCTGGAATTTAATCAAAATGGAAATGAAATTTGGAATTCAGGCGATGACCCACAAGAAAGATTACAAAAGTTAAGACAACGAGTTAAAGAAAAGCTTAAAGAAAAATTAAAAGTGAAATTAAAAGAAAGGATTCAAGAAAAGTTGAAAAACAGGGATGTGAACCAACATCATCATCAAAATGGAGTTGATACGGTACAAGTCGAAAAAGACGGTAATGATTTTATTAGCGATGGGAGAGGCTTGATAGATCACGAAAATTTTCGGGATAGCGTGAGTCCGGCTGATTAAATTGACCTCCATTCCTTTTTATAACGAAAAATAATTATTTATTTCAAGATTGGAGAAATTAATCGATTTGCTATATTCTAGATAATTGAAAATTTCGGACTTTTTTTCAATTTTTCTAGTTGCTTTTTTTTTTTTTTTTTTTCTTTTCGAAATTTTTTAAAAGATCGTTGGTTACTTTGATATTTAATGATATACGTCGGTGTAACGGCTACAATCATGTGATTAACCACGATTATAAAAAAAGCAAAAAAAAAAAAAATCGTTTTTTACAGATAATCTTAGTAATTGTAAATAAATAAAAAAATATGATTTCAAATTTCTATATAACCCGATTAACTCTACCGCGGCCCATGATCTTGGAAAGGTTTAATCGAATCCGATACCTAACGTATCATAGATTGTCGATAACTTCTACTTTTACAACTGCTAGTAACATTTCCGGAGAGGTTCAACCTTCTCTTCTTACAAAATTGAGAAGCGAAGTTAAAAATGCCATGAGAAAAAAAGATCAATTAAAGTTAAATGTTGTTCGGGTAAGTAATTCAGTTTATTAATATGAAAAAATAAAATTACATTGAAATAAAAATTATAGCGAATTTTCTTAGGGAATAATTAGTGATGTTACATATGCAAGCAAATCATCTTCACAGTCAACGGGTATCATTCCAACCGACCAAGAAATATATGCAATTATTAATCGTGCCATAAAACGTCGACAAGAATCAATTACACAATTTTCTCAGGCCGGAAGAAAAGATTTAGTTGAAAATGAACAAGGTGAATTAAACATATTAGTCTCTTATTTACCAGAACAAATGTCTGAGAGAGAGATTGAAATTGAAGTTAAGAGAGTTGTAGAAAAGCTTGGTATTACTGGAGAAGGAGGATCAAAAGATTTGGGCAAGATTATGAAAGAAATTAAGATTGATAATAGTAAGGCTTCAAAGAAACTCGTGGTAGATGTTGTAAAGAAACTTTTATCTGAAAAGAGTAAAAATGAATGATTCGATCTTGATAAATCATATCTACTTACACATTAATAGGTATCAAAAAAAAAATCGCAGGGGTCAAAAATTTAAGTGACCACAAATTACACAAAATTTAAATCAGATTTGGAAAAAATTAATAAAACCCTGACAAACACGTTGAAAATTTTGAAAAAAAGCGGGTTACATTTAAGTTTGAACCCCTGAAATTTTCTATATAAAATCTCTGATAGCCCTGATCTGCACAGATTCGTTGTCTTTCTTTTTTATAATAAATATTACTGTTCCCATTTCTTTTTTATTTTAATTCCTTTGATAGAGTGCGATCACGGAAGTTAGCTACGTAACAAAACATTGTGGTTCCTAATTAAAACTTTCCCTAGCATTCTTTGACTTTCACCATTTTAACCGTGTTATCACTAACCGTGTTATTATGATGAATGACTTAATTCCTTTAGTTAATAAACTTCAAGATGTTTTTAATACGATTGGTAGTGATACTGTAGATTTACCTCAAATCATTGTCGTGGGATCACAGTCATCTGGCAAATCTTCAGTACTAGAGAACATTGTACAACGAGATTTTTTACCCCGCGGTAATGGCATTGTTACTCGGCGACCTTTAGTTCTTCAACTTGTTAATATACATGCCAATGAAGATTCTGAACCTGAAGAATATGGAGAATTTTTGCATGCTTCAAATCAAAAGTTTACTGATTTTGCAGAAATTAGAAAGGAAATCGAAGCAGAAACGGCTAGAATTGCTGGACAAAATAAGGGAATTTCAAGATCCCCCATGCAACTAAAAATTTATTCGCCTAATGTTCTTAATTTGACTTTGGTAGATTTGCCTGGATTAACAAAGGTCTAAAAATAAATTGTTTTATGAAAAGTTTGTTACTTGAACTATTTTATTAACTCTTAACTTCGTTTGTGAATTTAGATTCCAGTTGGTATATATTCTTTTTTCTTCTCCTTCTTCCTATTGTTTTATTGACATTAGAATTACTAAATTAAATGTTTTAATAAATAATTCTTTATAGGTGACCAACCTACTGATATTGAAAATCAAACTAGAAATTTAATATCTGATTATATATCTAAACCGAATAGGCACGTGTTTGTTAAATTTGCAAGCTTATTTTGACGACTATTTTTTCAAAAAAAAAAATTCTTTTTGTTAACTAGTTTGCCTTTTATTACTCGTGTAGTATAATTTTGGCTGTTAGTGCAGCTAATGTCGACTTGGTAAATTCAGAAAGTCTAAAACTTGCAAAGCAAGTTGACCCAGAAGGTAAATATAATTTTGTTCTCAAATCAATTGTTATTGAAAATAATATTTTAATACATTCGATTATTATATGTAGGAAGACGTACCATCGGAGTCTTAACAAAGTTAGATCTTATGGATGCTGGTACAAATGCGTTAGAGATTCTTACTGGTCGTGTTTTGCCTTTAAAGCTTGGCTTCATTGGAGTTGTTAATCGTAGCCAACAAGATATTGTGGGTAACAAACCAATGGTTGAAGCTTTGAAGTCTGAAGCTGAATTTTTCAAACATCACCGGGCTTATCGAAGTATTGCCTCCCGATGCGGCACTCCTTTCTTGGCCAAAACGTTGAATAACGTACTATATATATATATATTTATTTATTTATCTATTTATTATCATTTGAGATATTCGACATTCACTTCAATCTTATTTTTTTTATTATTAAAAAAAAAAGATTCTCATGAATCATATACGGGAAAGATTACCGGACATAAAAACTCGAATTAACACTCTAATCGGACAGACTTCACATGAACTTATGTCATATGGAGATTCTACACTTGAAGGAAAATCAAACAGGGTATTTTGAATTATAATTTTTTAACACGTCGCGTTCTTATGAATTAATTTATATATATATATATTTTTTTAAAAAAAAAAAACTTTAATGCTAATTGTTCATCATTAGGGAGCATTGATACTAAGGCTTCTTACCAAGTTCGCTAGTGATTTTGTTTCATCAATTGACGGAACTTCATCAGACATCTCCACAAAGGAATTGTATCCTTTTATGAAAATTATTCATATTTTAGAGAAATAAGCTTACGCATCCTTAATAATATCTAACCTATAGATGTGGTGGTGCTCGAATATATTACATTTTCAATAATGTTTTTGGCGCAGCACTCGAGTCAATTAGACCTGGTGGAAATCTCACAGTTCAAGATATTCGAACGGCCATTCGTAATTCTACTGGTCCACGACCTTCTTTATTTGTCCCGGAAATTGCATTTGATCTTTTGGTCAAGCCTCAGATTCTTTTACTACTGCAACCAAGTTTAAGATGTGTCGATCTTGTTTATGAAGAGTTAATGAAGATCTGTCATGGTTGCGGAAGTGTGGTATGATTTATATAATTTCTGAATATAATATATAATGTGTATTAATTATTATCATTAAAAATATATTGATATGAAATATATTTAACGACCTTAATTTAACATTTATAGGAATTGAGTCGTTATCCACGTTTGCATGCTAAACTTCTTGAGGTTGTTTCAGATTTACTTCGTGAGCGACTAGCTCCTACTTCCGAGTACGTTGAAAGTTTAATTAGCATTCAACATGCTTACATAAATACCAATCATCCGGATTTTATTGGCGGAGGCGCTGCTATATCAGATCTCGTTCGAAAGAATGAAAGAAAACGAAGGGAATTTGAAAAATTAAACAGAAGGGTAATAAATTAAGTCAAATTGCAAACTTGACTCGTTTCGTATTAATGATTGTATTAATACTTTTATAGTCAAACAATTCAAGCGGTGTCTTAAATGTGAGCGTTCAATCAAGTGTTGTTAGTAAAGATGAAAATGATGGTCCATTAGTTTCAGATAATTTAAAAGAACCTGGTGGTACTAAAGATATTAACCTACATAATGGCATGAATAATCCTTCATCATGGGCACAGCGCGAGTCATTTTTAACATATTTCTTCGGAAGTGGAAATAAGACCGATAGAACGGTTTTACCTGACCAACCAATATCTATTAGAAATCCCAGAGATATTGAAGAGTTGGAACATAAGTTGGAGCATGTAAGCACAATAATTATCTTGATGTTGAGTCATGTTTGATTAGTAACTAAAAAAAAAAAAAAACCTTTTATTTTGGTAAAAAAAAGATTTCCTTAGATGAAGGTGTCAATCATCTGACTGAACGTGAAGAATTGGAGACTCAATTAATACGTAAGTATTTTTTCAATACATTATCATTATCTTCTTCGTGTTACAGAATTTTTTATATTAAACAAAACATTCTGTTTTTCTTCAATTATAAAGGTTCGCTTATTACATCTTATTTCGACCTTGTACGTAAAGCAATTCAAGATACTGTACCGAAAGCCATTATGCACCATTTGGTCAATCGTTCTCGTGAAACGGTTCAAAATAGATTGGTTGAAGAATTATATAAAGAGGAATTGTTTGCTGATTTGTTACAAGAAGATGAGAACTTGACTAATGAGAGGCAAAAATGTAAGACTATGCTTGAGGTTTACAGAGAGGCCTTTGAAATCATTAACGAGGCCATGTAAAATATGAATATACACACATATAGTTACATATAATATAAATATTTGAAGTTGAACATTAAATAAGTGAAAATAAGTTATTCTTTTACTTGTTATTCGCTTATCATCGAACATTTATTATTTAGATTATTTTTTTAACGTGACAATTTCACTTTTTATTTTTATTTTATCCTCTTTGTTTATTTTTTTTTGGTAATTATGTTTATGTTTATTTTTATTTTTTTTAATACCGACTTTCTAGAAAAATTGCATTTTTGATTTATTAGTATATGTTAGGGCCAATAATAAGTTATAAATCAACCATCCCATCCAAATTTAACATCAAATTTCTCAAAAATTAAATTTTTTTTACTATCCTAAAATAAATAAAAATAAATATTAAAAAAAATTACAAAAAAAAAAAAAAAATCAAAAAAAAAAAAAATTTCAAAAAATCAAAAAAAATCAAAAAATCAAAAAAAAAAAAAAAAAAAAAACAAACAAAAATAAAATAATTAAATACTTGTTTCTTTTTTTTGTTGCTCATTTATAATGATAATTTAAACTAAATTTTGGTATTATAATTTCAATATTAAAGAAAATATACAGGTGAAATATATCGTTAAATTTTGATGTAAAATAATAATTATATCTTTACTCCCCCAAAAGAAATAAATGGTTAAAAAGAATGAAAAAAAAAAATCAATGATAATACACTAAAAATAAGAATTTTTAAAGTTGCAGTTAATATATATATACACATATATATATAATGTGAATTGATGCTGTTGATGAAGATGAAGAAGTTCTCTTAATGATAAACTATCTATTATAATTGACTATATGCTCTGATATATATATATATATAAAACAAAAAAAAAAGGATGGTAGTATATTAAATGATAAAAAAAGAAGTAAAAGAAAAAAAATTGTCCGGATTCGTATATAGGTAGGTTGATAAAAGAAGTTTATTATTTTAACAACTATGATTCCTTTAAATGTATTTGATATTTCCTTTCTTTCAATAAATTCATTTGTAATCGTGTTTTTGAACCATCAGGACGCTGTATTACAACCTGAAATTTTAGTTTATTTTTACAATATTCGCTTAGTTATCAAGGTAAAGAGCATACTAAAATGATCATATAAAAGGTGATGTACCTCAGAATCCGTAGCAGCAACAAATTTCGCAGTATAGCGCCCTGATGTAGAATCACTAATAAGAACATGGTCACCTTTAGCGAACCATTGTCCATGGTATAGGAAACGATCACCTGCAGCATATATATCACTGTCTGTTTCTTCAAGGAATGTATTGTTGTCACCATCCAGAAATGGACCAGTTATAGTATTTATCTTAGGTGATGAAGATGAAGATAAAGCAGCAACAGCTATGATTATTCAGTACATAGCAAGGTATTGCATATAAACTGTTAGATAATATTTAAGGTATAAGTACATTTACGATCAGATATTTAACATACCTTGCAATTCATCTTCTCTTGCAATCTTGATTATATATATTATATTAGATTAGATTTCAATTTATTTATTTATTTATTTTTTTTTACAAAAGATATCGATTATATTTACCCCTAATAGTATTAGATCTTCTTCAATTTCGGCGTTATGCAACGAATCTAACGTTAAAGGTAAGTTTCAGTTAAGGAACAAGAAAAAAAAATTTATAATTGAAGAAATTAAAATACAAAATATTATAAAAAAAAATATTTTTTTTTTTATGTATATATAATCTCTAATAAACACACCCGCGACCTATTTATAGGCCTAATTCTGGTCGTGGAAGAGTCGATTAGTTTTGATAATTCTTCACTATGGACATTCCTTAAGTAAAATTTAATATTAATGGTTAGCCAGAATCATGGCCTATAAGTAAGTTCGTTGGTGTATTTATAGAGCTACATTGATTTAAAAGTCAAGGATATCTGCTGGGAAGCCATAATGTGTTTGCACATATTTTAATTCGGCTATGTTTAATAATTTCATATTTTTCCGCTGAGTTAAATGGTTATGATCAGGTCCGGAATATTCTGTTTTAACGAACAAAATATTTGTTAAGATTACTCTGTGAGAGAATAAATAATATGCTGAATAAAAATCATGACTTTACTATTAACCTATTCGGCCCAATATATCTAAACAATTCTTTTCCTTAATCAATTGCCATCTTTTGCTTTCCATATCGTCGAGCTTCTTCCTTCGTGATTCGTATTTATCCGACTAATTTGTATATATAAATATGTATATATATACATTATTAATTATTTAGCGTTCTTACATTACTATAAAGTCCAAATTGATCAAATACACTACCATAAATTCGCATTGTGCCTTATATTCCGCTTCTTCATATTGTTTGTGACAATGGATTACTTGATATTTCTTTCTTGATTCGGCTATTTCTAACCGTCTACGCCTTTTTTGTTCAATTTCTTCCATGCGAGCAATCAATTCCGGATGAGTCCCTATCAATTAAAAAATTATTTCAAAAATTATTTGTAATCTATTTTAAAACAAATGTCAAAGAAAATATACGATTCGGATCGTTTACTTATTAAACATCGACAATCCAAATTCATAATACATTATCTTACCTTCATTTATCATTTTAATGTCCTTTTCCAATTCTTCAATTTGCTCACGATATAACCTAAAAAATATATGTTAATTAAGATAGAAGTCATTGATTAAGAATAGCAAAAATACTCACTGATCCCTCAACTGTGCAAAATCCTGTTCGACTATTTTTAGATCATTCTGTACTTCAGCTCGAGGTTTTTCATTTTCGTCTGGTTCTATAATGATAATATATAAAACATAAATAATTCGAAAAAAGAATTGCCGCAGCTATGGTCTGCGCCACCAATCATATGACGTCATCGAGGTACTACGTTACGTTGCGGGAAAATTATTGGTAATGCAGAATTATTTTTTTTTTTTCGAATTATGAACAGATCAAACGACTTTCACTAACCCTCGAATAATTGAAAATTAGACAAAAAATAAATAAAAAAAAGAGACATGCCTTCTGACTTATTATTTCCTACTATGGAACCGTTTTCTTCGTTTCCGTTTTCCACTCTAACGTCCCAACGTCGTCTTTTTCTAACCCTGTTGTTTTCCGTATTTTCGACTATAGGTACTTCGTCTTCAGACATTGTTATGAGGTTTTTGGATTTAGTATCATCCTGTATTATGGAAGGTGATTCTGATTGTGAACTTATTTCGGATGAATAATTGGGTGTTGATGGTGAAATTGGACTATCAGATTTTTCCACATGTTTGATGTCTAGAGAATCGCTACGGACAGGTTGAGTTTTGTTTCCATTCGTCTCTTTAGTAACGCCGTTTTGTACTACTTCATTATTTTTCCAGGAATTAGTTGGTTTATGTTTGATACCATTCCTTTCGCTTTTCGGGTATTCTGCCTTTTCGGAAACCGATGGTTTCTTCATTTCCGACTCATTGTCTGTACTAATTTGACTATTGGGAAGAGAAGTAGTATCTTTTTCGATCGAGAAGTTCGTCCCAGGTTTGAAAATTTCTTGACTTTCGGCTTGTTTGTCAAGTCTATTCTCAAGCGAACGACCTCTTGATGTAGTCGATTGCAGCATCAAGCTCGTTGTTACTGGTAAGGAAAATAAAAAATAAAGGAATGCGAAAGTAGTCGTCTAAACTAAAATTAATAATTAAAATGATATTCTTATATTATACAAGAACAAAATGTCCAGTTTTCTAAGAAATAAAAAAAAAAAGAGCAATTTATAAAAGTATAAGGTTTTTTTTGTGGGGATGAATTTAAAGGGTTTTATAAAAAAAAAAGTCATATATATATGATACATTTGAAATGACGTAGCAAATAAAAAATTCTTGGAACACAATTATGCGAGTTCAAAGCCACCCATTGAGGAGAAATTTGTACAATAAAACTTGATCTTATGATACACAAGACTTTATGAATTTGATAATCATCCCATTGGGCCATGTGTCATTCATTATCTTTCAGATTGACAGTATTTATACAGCTATATTTTGTCCCTTGTTTTTAATTTTTAAAATGTCGAGTTACGCTCCAGGATCTTTATTACAAACAATACTGGGGTCAAAATCTTTAGAGATTAATAGTGATCTCGATTCTTTGTTTAAAAACAGCGTAAGATCTAACCTCTTACATAGTCCATTAGATATTGGTATTCGTGTATAAAACACAATCGCTTTTTTTAGGCAGGACCAACTCAACAACTACCCACAAATGGCGAAAAGCAGCTTAAACGAAAACGTTCGGTTAAAGGCTCAGAGTCTCAAAAGAGAACCAAAGTTATAGAAGACGTTGAATCCAATTCTGCTAGTACCAATAAGAAAATTACCGAGTTGGATAAAAGTGTTGATGCTGAAACGGAAGATTCAACTAACTTAAAAACAACGGAACTTGATGATAATGATCGATGTAAAAAAGAATTGCCAAAAGAAGATCCTGAACGTTTGCAAAGAACGATCTTTGTGGGGAATTTACCAATTTCGGTAACTCTAAAGGTTACGTATCTTGCATTAATCTATTATGATACACTTTGTTATCGATAATATAATTTGTTAAGTTTTAATTAAAAATCATATTAGGCCAATAATAAAAAGTTAAAAGCCCTTTTTTCTCAATTCGGGAAAATCGAAAGTGTACGATTTCGCTCAATCGTAAGTTCCTATATATATCTATCTATGTTAAATAAGGTCGAAGTAGTTTTTTTTTTTTTTTAACGAGATTATGATTCACGTTCTAGGCATTTTCCGAGTTGCTTCCTCGTAAGCTTGCCTTTATTACTGGCAAACTTCATCCTGAGAGAGATGTTCTAAACGCCTACATTGTATATAAAGAACTATCATCCGTACAAAATGCCATTACTATGAATGCTCAAATGTTTATGGAAAAGCACCTTCGAGTTGATTCCGTAGCTAACCCACAAGTATGTCGTTTTTTTTTTTAAAAAAAAAAACATACATTTATCACACATAGATATCTAGATAATTATTTTGATTTTTTGATTAGAATCATGACAGAAGGCGAACTGTATTCATCGGAAATATGTCTTTTGATGCACAAGAGGAAGAGTTATGGGTACAATTTGAAAGTTGCGGGGAAATCGAAAATGTTAGAATCGTAAGGGATAATAAAACCAATGTTGGAAAAGGATTTGCATATGTACAATTTAAGGTAAGTAAAAAGAAATTTAATGAAATAATCTGCGTATAGATATTTAAATAATTTAATTAATATTTAGGAACGCGCTTCCGTTGAATTTGCTCTCAAGCTAAATGACATAAAACTTGGCAATCGAAATATCCGAGTGACAAGATGTGCAAAAGCAAAACATGTTAGTAAACTGGCTTCAAATAAACCTGTCAAAGGCAAGCCAAAAATTGGGAATGTGAAATTTGGAAAGAAATTAATTGAAGGTATTCGTGCGAATAATGAATTGTCTTCGAATAAACTTGGAAAAAGTAAATCAAGTCAAGGTACTCGTGCAAAGAAAGGTAAAAAAGCTCCAAGAATTCGTACAAGAACACAAGCTTGGAAGAAGGCTCAAAAACAAAGCAGAACATAAAAGCTTATAAGATTATTTAATATATGAAATTACTCCAGTTCATAAAGGAATAAATGATATTCGAAAACGGAAATTTATAATTTATTTCGATTAACATTCCACAGATCGACTCTGACATAATCTTGTGACCCCTAATTACATTATTAAACTCGCATTACATCAACTTTGCGCGTAAAACTTGTAGTAAACATCCCGCCTTATTATTTAATAACCAAATTTGTTATTTTACAAAAATTTAAAGTTTTGTTCAATAAATTATAAAAGTTCTATTTTTGCTCAATGCATAATTATCATAATTATCATATACATTTTAGATTTATAATTTTTTTTTTTTTTTTAGTAATTTGAAAGTTACTGAATTAAAAATTATTTTTTTCTACGTTATTTTATAGCACACAAAAATATTCTTTGAAATTATAATAAAATGTTTAATGTCGTCGTTTTCTATTTTCGTCGTCATCACGTGGAGCATCTCCTGTAGTTCTTTTTCGCGATCTATATTATTAGTTTTCAAACTTAACTTGAATTATGGAGTTCTTTTAAAACAAACAATAAATTACCCATGAAAGATGACTTACCCATCCCATCTTTCATCTTCCCTCCGTGTAAATCCCTATATATATATATATAAAAGAAAATCATTTATTACAAATGATCTTAAGAAATATATTATTATTAATTAAATATGTTCCAATTAAAAAAAAATTTTCATACATGTGATCTTTCAACACTTCCTGATGCGCTTCTATCGCCACCTCTTTCCTCTTCTCTATCTGAACTTGGACTATTTACTGAGGAACCAGCTGGTCCAGTAGGGGGACGGAAAGGTGGTCGCATCCTATGTGCAAATGGTGCATCTGGAGGTGGAGAATGTTCCCAATCTGGTCTATTTCCACTCGGACCTAACATTGGTCCAGTCGGTGGTCTACCTTGAAATCCACCATGTCCAGGACGAAAAGACGGAGAGTTGCGATTTTCCATTTCCCATGCTAAATATTATCAATTTTGAAACGAGAAACTAATTAATTTTTTTTGGTTAAATATCTTAAACTCTGATAATTGACTGAAGAATACTCACTTGGTTCATCCATTGAAAAGTATGGTCTATATGAAATTACAAATATATTTAAGAAATGTAATGTGTTGTAAATTTCATTAATCTTGTTATTATTACCTTTCTTCCATTGGCATTCCACGACCTCGTCCGACCATCCCTCCAGGGATTCCTCCAGGAATTCCAGGCATACCTCTAGGCATAGGCATCCCACCGGGAATACCGCCTTGCATGTTAGGAGGCATGCCCCTTGCCATCCCCGGCATTCCTGGCATTCCACCTGGAATGTTACCAGGAATTCCTCCCGGACGCATCATATTTCGCATAGGTTGACCTCTATATGATGGATCGAAACCCATTGGACCTGTTGGTGGCATATCAGGGTTTGACATGAAAAAATTCGGTGGTGGTCCTATGGGGCCTCCCATTTCCTATTGACAAAGTAATAAATAAATATATATAGTATATTAGAAAATAAATTAAAACGCGTAAAAATAAGGATAGATAATTTACCGGTGGTGGAAACATTCCCATTCCCATTGGATTCCCTAATTTTATTATTTTTTTTTTTTAAAAAAAAAAAAAAGACATAATCAATTTACAGATAGAATATCATTTGAAAGGGATGCAACGAATCATAACCTGAAAAATTTTGTGGGTATCCACCTCCTTCCATGTTAAATTCATCGCTTTGATCCATCGACGGAGGTGGACTTATGTATACATTTTTAAAAGAAAAAAAAAAAGTCAAGCTAGGTTTCTTTTTTTTTTTAAAAAAAAAAATAAAATAAAATAAAATCGTATCCTGTCAATAAAATTAAATAAAATTAAATTCAAGTTACATTGGTTCAAGTTCTTCCAAAGCTGCCTCTCTTTCACTTGAGACTACTTGGATTACTGAATCATCTTGGTCTCGTCCACGACGTCCTACATGTTTGAAATCTGAGAAAGCTCTTCCGTTAGCATAAAACAACAACAACAACATAATAATAATAATAATTGTTATTTACCTCGCCCACGTTGTTGCGGAAATCTATTATGCTCTTGTCCTCCCGATGAGGATTGATTGATGGATTGCAATTCGGGCAAATTATTCATTTCTTGTTTAGATTCATATACCTACATTAAAAAATATCTTTTAATTGGTTTGATTTATAATATAACATAAATTAAATCGAAAACACTCACATGTATTTTCTTGCGTTGATGCTGATCTTCACGCATTTGTTTTTGTTTCGCGCAATATGCTTTCCATGTATATTCATTGAACCCATAATTAAAGTAATCCGTAATATCCGCACCTGTTTATAATGAATACTCTATTAGATATACATAAATCATAGCTTTCAATTTAATTTAACGAATCATACCTGGTTTTCTCCAAGGCTTATCTTCAAATGAGTCTAAATCGACATCATATATGCCGGTTCCTTCGAATGTCCCGATAGCATTAATATCTACACCAGGTGTGCGACTTGAAGACGGTTGAACACCTTCTATACTCTCCATGAACATAAATAAGTAGTTAGTTATGATATGCAGTCAATCAACAAAAAATCGCTATATTTTACCGTGTCGCATTCCAAGCTGTTTATTAAAGTTAGGTTTTATAATAAGAGAATTTCTAAAGGAGGAAAAAAGTTAATAAAAACAATTTTGAACAAGTATTCAGGTAATACTAGATTGAGGTTTCAATTAAATTGCCTTGTAGCGTTATCTGTCGGTTTTGGTTGTGGAGCATCCATTATAATTTCGATATCCTTCAAACAATTAAAAATTGGATTAATATGTAAAAAAAATGGGCATAGAAGATTAAATAATTACAGATTCGTCACTGTCTTCTTCTTCTTCCTCCTCCTCCTCCTCCTCCTCTTCCTCCTCCTCTTCCTCCTTTTCCACTTTTTCTTCGACCGTTGGTTCTTGTTCTTCTGATGAGTCTACCAAATTTCCATTCTCTGTTGACATTTCTAATGGATCAATATCTTGCATATCACGTCCTTCTTGAATTTCTTGATTATCTTGATAATCCTCCTTATCTTGATTATTCTCGTTGCCTGGAGTATTTATAACTTGGCTATCTTGGTTAACCTTCGTATCTGGATTATTTTGGATCCCTTGAATATCATAGTTCTGAACAAAGGTACTTTGAGCGGTTTTGTCATCGTGAACATCATGGGTATTTTGATGTTCTTTCGTTTCTGGAGGAAAATACATATCCTGATCATGAACCTGCTCGGTTTTTCTTTTTATTAAACGTAAAAGTTAGGTGATTTAAATATTCAATGTGGTTAAATGGATTAGAGCACACACGTACATTGAATCTACATCTGCTTGATTTACTTCTTTAGAAACTTCATCATTGACATTGCCGATATCATGACTTCAAAAAATATCAAAATGATTTCCAAAATATTAAGTTATCGATAATAAAATTAATTCGATTTTAGCAAGTAACCTATTAACAACATACTTTGTCCCGTCCCCATACATATCAAAGAAGTCGTCGTCTTATGTATTTTATACATATTATTTCGTTACGATCCAAACCAAACCAAAAACATAAAAGATAAAAGATTAAGATATATAAACAAGAAAAAAAAATAATTCTTTATTAGATTTTGTTATGTTACAAAAGGTTACAAATTTTTGATTATAAATAACAAAAAAAAAAAAAGAAAAGAAAAAAAAATTTAAATTTTAATAAATTAACAGGCTAAAGAACAATGACTATATTATAGATAACTGTTGGCGTTTGAACAGGTTAGCACTATCATACCTTCTACTTTGACTTCTTTTATATTATTTTCAGAATACCCCTCTATTAACACCAATATATGAAAAGCAATTAGCACTTTTGTAATTTTGAAGCGTTTTTCAAATAAAGGGTTAATGATAGTTTCCATTATTGTAAAATAATAGAAACGCTTTGTTTAATTGAACTTATCAAATAAAATCTAATCTAACATTTCCTCACCCTCTTTTGATACTTGAGGTTCAACAACGGTCTGCTCTTCAATTCCGCCATACAAAAATTCATCGTCGTTATCAAAATCTCTGTTAGCGTCTGCCATTCTTTTTTATTAAACTAAAAAAATTTTATCGGGGGAGATCGAGAATAAATATTAACTTTTCATGGCTGCGCCTTTGTCAGATGATGAAAATCATAATTTATTACGTGATAATATGCTTTAACTCTCGTGATGATTTGCATTGGTATCAAATCCTGGCCTGGTATAAAATTTAAAAGATTATTATTATGATTATGAATCGTATCTTGAGGTCAACATGAACAATAAACTTGTTAAAATTATAATCGATTTTTTGATCATTATTTTTTGATCAATAAAAATCTGCTGTTAAATTATTATCACACCGTAAAAAAACCATGATTTCACGTGACTTGATACAATTCGCGTCAGTAAAAAGTAAAAAAGCGTAGTTCAAGTCAACCGTTAGAACTTCTATTCCTTACTTTGTACCTTTAATTAAATTTAATAATTTCTAAAGGAAAACTTATTCAAAAAAAAAAAAAAAAAAATATTCCTAATGTGTCGTCGTTGTAATAAGCAAGCTCAAGATAATAATAACCTAGCCTTTTTAACACCATCACCTTTATCTGATATTACGCGACAAACCAACAATGTAAATTGTAGACTTGAACCTTTAGAACCCGTAACCCCAACTCCAGGTCTACCACCAAAAAAAAGGATAAAGTGTGATAATTTACAGGGTAATTCTCAATTAGACCTTTCGGCGAATAAATTAGATAATAATCAAGTTACAACAACACCTTCGCGTCCAATTAAATACTTTAACCCATATTATGGATTAACATTACAGAATGCATTATTTCAAAGGGAAATTTGGGGAACTACTGTGATGGGTGGTTCAACCATGGCTTCAAAAAGATGGAATGTTTCAACGCGTTTCTTTATAAAAGATTTCAAAAACACGGATAATGATGTGTTTAGATTTCTTGGTGATCGAAATTTCGTTGCACCATTCGTTTGTTCTTTCAGTCATGTGGCGCGTGACGGAAAACTTTTAGCCGCAGCAGACGAGGAAGGGATGGTGGGATTTATTGATGCTAGATACGATAACACAGTGGAACTTCAACGGGTTCGTACTGAATTTCGTGCACACGATAATGCTGTCTTTGATGTTATGTGGAGTCATGATGATTGTTCAATGGTTACCGCCTCTGGTGATCAAACAGCGAAATTGTGGGATGTGGAATCACAGCAATGCAAGGCAACGTTTGGAGGACATACTTGCAGTATCAAATCAGTTAATTTTAATCCTTTAAATCCAAATTTGTGGGTGACTTCTTCAAGAGATGGAAATATATTTATCTGGGATACCCGCTCAAATGGATTACGTTCTGAGGGTGAAATCTTCTTTAAACCAGTTATCAGCATTCGAAATGCACATTTACATGATACCTTAAAGAAGAAGTCAAGAAAGAGTTATCAACTTCCTCCAATTAGAAGCAAACCGACCAGCAGTGTAACCGGAGTACAGTTTTTGATGCATCAGGATTTATTATTGGCATCATCTGGAGCAAGTGATAGTATTATCAAGTATTGGGACTTACGAAATCAGGACGCGTCAAATAGTCCGATACCAACTCAAATATCTATTAATGGTTCCGTTGCCAAACGTCCTCATGGAATTTCAGATTTAATTTTAGATAAAAGTGGTACTCGCTTATACGCCAATAGTACAGATAATTATATTTATATGTATGATGCTACAAATCTAGGAGCTTCTATTGGTTGTTTTACTAGTCCAAATTACAGATGTTCGTCATTTTATGTTCGATTGGCTTGTTCACCTGATGGTCGTTATATCGCAAGTGGATCAAGTGATAAATCCATTTATATTTGGGAGGTCGATTTCCCAAGTGGCGATCCTGTTATTTTGAGAGCTCATGAAAATGAAGTTACGAGTTTAAATTGGTCGAAAGATATTGAAACCTTCGCTTCCTGTTCTGATGATACGACTCTTCGTATTTGGCGAATTAATGGTTCTGAGTAGTAGTTTTACGTGTGTTATATATATCAAAACATTCTGGAAGTAATAATGAAATATTTAGCTAGCATAATAACAAAGCACCATGAAATCAATAAAAAATTTATGTATTCTGTACTAATTATTGTAAGTGATCTGTAATTTACAAATCTAAAGTCAAACTTATAAAAAAATTATTATTGAAATAATAAGAGTGTAAATTATATGCTTATGTGTTATATATATATATTTCTTATAAAATCAATATGAAAGAAAGTAAATAAATAAATAAAATAAATATATCACAAAAAAAGATAATATGTATAAATATGTAAAAAAAAAAAAAAAAAAATATTCCTAATGTGTCGTCGTTGTAATAAGCAAGCTCAAGATAATAATAACCTAGCCTT